ATTTTCAGTGAAAGGTTTAGGTTAGGTTTAGGTTATGTTTAAGTTAGGTAGGTTAGGTTTAGGTTAGTTAGTAAACCTATCACTGATAAATGATAATTAAACAACATTACTCGTAAAATTTTAAAAAAATTGTAAAACCCTGATATTTCGTGTGTTCCTTGAAAGTTACTAAAAATTCTTGTTAACTTCATTGACAGACAAAATGAAAGACGTGAAACAATATTCAGAATTGAGGTAATTATGGCCATGAAGGCCAATTTAACTTATTATTCATTTTACGTTATATAAGTTATATAAAAATGATTGCCGAAGGTTTCTTTGCTGTACGAGAAACAACGAAAATACGAAAATTACTGCACAGGCGAAAACAATACATATTAATTACTGAAAGTTCCTTGAAACGTGAATGAGTGTAACGTATGATCAGTAAGCGTAAAATAACGGTGTTAATGTTACCGCAAAAGAAAAATCATTTTATCATTTTAAGCTGACACCGTGTTTATGTCTGTCACTCTCTGTGTTTCAACTAGTTGCAAATATATCTTCTACGGTAGAATCTGTATGCGGATGCATATTGCACGCTCGTATATGCATGCATACGCTGCATATCAATGTGAACATTAGACATTTGTTTGAAACAAATAAATAAATATATATATATATATATATATAACAAATCAATAAATGAATAAACACATTTGAACAGTTTAACAAAAAAACGTTTTCTGTTAAAACATTATAAATTCATTTCATTTCCGAAAATGAGAGTAAGCGTGAAATATAAAAATCTGATGGCCTTTGAGAATCAATCGTCGATATTTAAGGGAAGATTAAATCAATATTTGAATATATAAATCAATACCTCGTATTACTTGTAATAATAATAATAATAATAATAATAATAATAATAATATATGTAGATATATTAAAATAAAATAAATACAATTTCAAATACCGGTAGGAACTGTACTAAGGACATTGAACTTTCTAAACGGATGACCTTCAACTCTCACAGAATCAGCTTGCTTTTCCGCTTCATAAGTTATAAGATACAGGTATGAAATTGCAGTACGGTAATGGAAATGCTGTATCAAATTCGAAGCGAACTGTTCGTGCATTCGCACACATACGCAAGCCTACCTAGTATCATCATAGGCTGCAAAGAACACCGGTTAATAGAATAATAAATTCTCACGATTAGTTGCTTACATAATCTGTATTGATTTCGAAGTATTAAACGATCAAGCCGCAAATAACATATAATCTGGAATGACGGGAAAGTCTTTGTATCCGAATCATGATATGATCAATGGAATAATCATTTTTTTTTTTCTTTTTTTTGTATGAAACTGCAGAATATAAGTATATATAAACTCTATATAATCAAAATTCAAACGAAATGCTGTAAGACGTTTCCTCGGAAAACCATAACATTCAATGACTTGCTTTTGTTTCTTAATTTCAATGGTCAGAGTTATTTGGAGATTTTCCTGAAATAAATCTTACGTACTGTGAGAAAAATTGTTATTATACCGATATAATTGTAATTATGTAATATTATGTAAATACTAAATTATACACATGTACTATAAGAAAAGATTGATTTTATTTAAAATAAATAATGAATTAAGAATAAGAAATTTCCAAAAAAAAACAAATGTTCTAGTTAATCTTACTGGATTAATAGAATAAAAGAAAATAAAGTGCAGTTATATAATAATTGGGTTAATTGAGGGAAGTGAGTGCATTGGTTTACACATAAAACTGCAGTTCAAATTAATCAGATTGCGGTATCATAATTCCTTCGAAATTTATGGAATTTAATTTCCTTGAAAGCATGTCACACATCTCTACTAACCAAAAATTGCATAGATATAACTCGATCTAAAAACGTCGATACAAATTGTTGAACGGATCTAAAACGCATGAAAAGAAAAGCCTTCAAAATTGACTTCAATGTAGGAAGTAATGCGAAAAACCAGGCATGTATATTGAAATGCTGCAAATGGTAGAGTGAAAGGACGGAGAAGAACAAGAAAGCGGTGATGTATATTTTATCTAGCCAATGGCGTAACAATAACAGAATTCCCAAAATTATTTATCCAAGGATTGCATTATACCATACGTCACGAGTCACATGTCATAAATGAGATATTCTCTTTCAATTTATCCTATATTATACATACAATATTTTTACTTATTATTTAATTAAATATTAATATTTAACATTAAATTAAATATTTTACAATATTTTTTTTCTACTTTATGTTACTATTATAAATACTATTCTCTATTTTAACATTATTATCATGAATTTGCATCAATTCCGAAAAATATTTAAAGTAATAATAATAACGTAATAAGTTCTTTAATTAAACGATTCATTGACTAATAAAAATTTAACTGTTTGTTAAATTAATTTAATCCATTGTCTTAGCATTCGATTCTTATCCCTTAGTAAAAGATTAAGGATGGTCATATCACTTTCAAACATCTTAAAATTCTTCAAGCAATGAATTTGTAAAAAGTTGCAGAAAATAAAGTTTCTTGTATAACAAAGTTATTAAGCTGACTACGCTAATGCCTAGAAATTGCGAATGTGGAATGTATTGAAAAGTAGGTGGGTATGCAGTTAGGATACATATTCACCATCCTTCGATACATGTTCTATTCGAACAGTTGCGACTTTCTAAATTTTAGAGAACATTCATACGACTAAAATTCGAAGATTAGAACGCAGCAAAGAATAGCAACAAAAAATTGCTACATTAATGTAGAAACATGACGTGGAATTAAATCAAAACGGCGGGAATTTAGATATGAAAATATAAATATGAAATAATTTCAATCAAGTGACATTGTGGGATTATGTTAAAAATTTTAATAGATATATTTAATTTGATTCTCTGTGATAGAGGCTAGTAATAAAATTAAAACATTATTCGAAGCTGTAAAAATTCAAACATTGCTTGATCTTGGAATTTTCAATTTGATTTAATTTTATTATTAATCTCTGTCTAAGAGATATGTGCAATCGTTTATAATCTTGGAACAGAACACACAGAATTTATCCCTCCGTTTATAAAATACCAAACCAATAATTGGAAACTATGAAGAACGTATACCTGCCGTTGTGTATGTTGCTTTCACCAATTCATTCATGTTCCTTCAAGTACAAATTTTATTCATATAAGAAAAAAAAAAAAAAAAA